TTTCTTTTTCCTGGCTCCCTCTCCCCTCCCCCAATGCTCCCCATCTTCTCAGGAGATCTTGTCTCATTCCGCTTCTCTGGGGTACCATGCATACCTCTCTTAGGGTCCTTCCTATTTCCCAGACTCTCTGGCAGTGGGATTGTAGGATGGCACTCCCCTGATCCATGTCTAAAATCCATAATCCATATATGAGTGAGTACATACCATGCTTGTCTTTTTTGTGACTGGGTTACCTCACTCAGGATGGTTTCTTCTAGTGTGTCCATTTGCCTGCAAATTTCAAGAGTCCGTTGTTTATTTTGTTTGTTTTTTTTTTTTTTTGCCTGAGTATTACTCCCTTGTGTAAATGTACCAAATTTTCTCTATCCACTCTTCAGTTGAGAAGAAGCTAGGTTGCTTTCAGGTTCTGGCTATTACAAATAGTGCTGCTATAAACATAGTAGAACACACGTCCTTGTTGTGTGAATGTGCATCTTTGGGTATATGGCTAAGAGTGGGATTGATGGGTCTTGTGGTAGACTGATTTACATTTTCCTGAGGAATCTCCATACTGATTTCCATAGTGGCTGTATGAGTTGGTACTCCCACCAGGAGTGGAGGAGTATTCCTCTTTCTCCATATCATCTCCAGCATAAGCTGTCATTGGAATTTTTAATTTTAACCATTCTGACAGGAGTAAGATAGTATCTCAGAGTTTTTTGATTTGCATTTCCCTGATTATTAGGGATGTTGAGCACTTTCTCAAGTGCCTCTCAGCCATTTTAGACTCCTCTATTGAGACTTCTCTATTTAGTTCTGTAGACCACTTTTTAATTGGATCCTTTGGTGCTTTGGAGACTTGCTTCTTGAGTTCTTTGTAGATTTTGGAGATCAGCCCTCTGTCAGATGTGGAGTTAATGAATATTTTTTCCCATTCTGTGGGCTGCCTTTTTATCTTGTTACTGTGTCTTTTGCCTTGCAGAAGCTTCTCAGTTTCAGGAGGTCCCATTTATTAATTGTCAATCTCAGTGTCTGTGCTAATGGTGTTATGTTCAGGAAGCTGTCTCCTGTACCAATTCGTTCAAGGGTGCCCCCCACTTTCTCTTCTAAGAGGTTCAGTGTGACTGGATTTATGTTGAGGTCTTTGATCCATTGGGACTTAAGTTTTGTGCATGGTGATACACATGGATCTATCTGCAGTCTTCTTACATGCCAGCATCCAGTTATGCCAGCACCATTTGTTGAAGATGTCTTCTTTTTTTCCATTGTATAATTTTAGCTTCTTTGTCAAAAACCAAGTGTTCATACATGTGTGGGTTAATATCAGGGTTTTCAATTCGATTCCATTGGTCTACCTGTCTATTTTTGTGCCAATACCAAGCTATTTTCAGGACTATAGCTCTATAATAGAGCTTGAAGTCAGGGATAGTGATGCCTCCAGAAGTTCCTTTACTGTACAGGGTTCTTTTGGCTATCCTGGGTATTTTGTTTTTCCATATAAAGTTGAAAATTGTTCTTTTAAGGTGTGTGAAGAATTGTGCTTGGATTTTAATGCGGATTGCACTGAATCTGTAGATTGCTTTTGGCAAGATTGCCATTTTTACTATGTTGATCCTACCTATCCAAGAGCATGGGAGATCTTTCCATTTTCTGGTGTCATCTTTAATTTCTTTCTCTAAAGACACAAAGTTCTTGCGATACAGGTCTTTTACTTGTTTGGTTAGGGTTACCCCAAGGTTATTTTATGTTGTTTGTGGCAATTGTAAAGGGTGATGATTCTCTGAATTCTTTCTCAGCCCTTTTATCATCTGTATATAGTAGGGCTATTGATTTTATTGCGTTGATCTTGTATCCTGCCACTTTGCTGAAAGTATTCATCAACTGTAGGGGTTCCCGGGTAAAGTCTGCATGCTGCCATATTCCCCACCATGATGATAATAAGCTACCACCTCAACTGAATATTTTCTTTGTAAGAGTTGCTGTGGCCATGGTGTCTCTTCACCACAGTAGAAACCCTAAGATAGTAACCCTTCACGAATCCTCCTGTAAGTAAGTCCAGTAAATGCGTGGGTTCCCTGAGCTAGACTGGGGCAGAATCATGGCTTTGTTCTGTCACTGGTACTGTGTCTGTGATGAGCCACTGTGGGCTAATGTCTTTTTCAGGAGGCATTCTCCCAACAGTGTAACACAAAATGGCAATGTGTTCAGAGGCGCTTTAGAAATGGTTAGGAATCTCACCCGAATTCCAAGTCAAAAATCAGCTTAATGATTATTTTAAAGCTCAATTGAGCAACTCATCTACTTTAAAAAACAAAGCATTCTAATGCAATCAACTTCAAAGGCATAATTTGATATTCACATGCTGATGAATAATGCTATGCATGGATGTGTATCCACTCACCACAGATAGGGTACCAGTGAGAGACCATAGTCATCAATCCATCTGTGTCTATCTTAGGGAACCTGTGTGTTTACTGGACTGATAGGAGCATTTGTGAAGGACCACTGTCTTAGTTAGGGTTTCTATTGCTGCTTCTTATCAGTCTGGTGGTTACTTATTTGGCCCTGTTTCCTGAACTACCCTGTGGATCTTTGATATAGGAGTTAATCTTGTATCAATAAACCCTCCATTTCAGAAGGGTTCAATTTTCTGGTCAGGTTCGAGTGTGCTACCTCATTTCAGAAAAACTAAGTGACATGAAGACATCTAACAGGGAGCAGGTGGTGCTGTCTGACTCTAGGGTCTCCAGATCTTACATCTGAGCTTGATACTCTGCATCTTAGGTTGCATGGTGCTTGATTTGCATCCTCATTTATTTTTTATCTGATGTTTATATTTATATTCTATTTATTAACAACCTCTTCTCAAGCTCTCCTAAACTGGATTATAGGAAATGAGCTCATGAATTCATCCTGGGAAGGCCAGGGACTGAAACTTTGTTGTACTGCTTCCAAGGAGAGCACCACTTAAGTACAGATAGAAAAGGAGCTTGCCAATCTATATTTATTTGGACCTGTGTGGGGGTGTTCAGGTTATATTGAACCCCTTTATGAAGTTAAAGATTAATTATACGGTGCTCCAAAGATAGTGAAATCTTAAGCCCTAGCATTCATTTGGAAAGAGGGTCAACACAGGTGTAATTAGTTAAGCCAAGGCTGTGTCAGAGTAGGGTGGGCCCCCAATCCAATAAGATAAGTGGCTTTATAAGAAAATAACCACTGAAGACCGACACACAGAGAAAACATAATACGACAACAAAAGTAGTCACTAGAGGGATGTGGTGACAAAGGAGGGATCAACACCGAGTGTTAACATCAACACTACCAGCTAGAAGAAGTGGGAGATCTCCCCCTTCAGGTCTCAGAGACCAGGGTCTTTCTGACAGCCTGACACCAGACTTCCAGCCTCCCAACTATTAAAAAAGAACGAAATAGTTCCAGGAAACAAGAAGATGCATGTGTTCCCTGGAAGGTCAGACCCTGAAGGACTGAACTTGTTTCAGCTTCCTGTGTGATGCTTTGTTCCTGTGGATCTGGTCTCATCTTATATTTGGATATAAAAAAAAATTAAGGTAAAGGTGTAAATTAATGGAAAATGGTCACCATAAAGCAAGTGATTTTCAGGACTGTTTTGTTTTGCTTTGTTTGAAAGTCTATAAAATTGTTTGTGGTGGGCTAATGAAAGTGTGGGTACCCTCTGGTGAGTATGAATGTCCCCAAAAGCACAGTTCATCAAAGGGAATGCCACAGAGGCAGGTACTGAAAGCCTTTGGAAACACTCTGTAATGTAATCAGCTTCCACAACTTTGGAAAACAGCTCGTTGGTTTTCCTGAGCAAACAGAATGAACTCAGTCTACCTACTGACTAGTGAGGTGACTTCCTGTCAAAATCACAATAGTGTTTTTCTTGATTAGAATTGCAGTCTGCCTTCCTCTCTTTATTCTCCTTTGAACTTCTGTCCCTGCTAAGTGACACCTGGGACTGTGTCCTTCATCCTATAGTTATTACTGAGTCTCTACCACCTTTGCCACTGTGAGTCAGTGGCTACTTCTTCCTTGTGCTCAATGGTCCTCCACTTGTTAAGAGTGGAGTGTCACAATGTAGAAAGTCCTATAATGCCACCCAGGTTCTCCAAAAAGTACAAAACATTAAAAGAAACAAATGTTACATTTGATAACAGAGGTAGTTGGGGCCCTGAGTTCAAGATCAATCTGGTCTACAGAGCAAGTTCCAGAACAGCTAGGGCTACAAAAACAAACAAAAACTCTTAAGTACATTGTGTAAGTCTTATTTACTTACATCTTCACTTAAGCAACGTATAAAAACATATTTGCAACATAATTGGAGGAAATTGAGCACTGATTGGGCACTATTAGATGATGTTAGATAATTATAATTTTACTTAAAATGTGTTATATATAATGGATAACTGTCAGAGGTGAATGATGAATTGTGTCCAGAATTTGCTTGAAAATTTTCTTTCTGAGAGTGTTGGAGAAGCAGGGCAATGAAGAAATAAGAATGTCAGGCATGGCCACATGAGGTTCTTCCATGTTTTTACATGTTTGAAAAGTTTCAGAATAAAAGCTTTGTGTGGGCACATGCATACGTGAATGCATGAACACATGCTTGTATGCATGTATGCTCATGTGTATTCTGTGCGTGCTGGGGGTATTGCATGTGGAGGCCAGTGGTCAGCCTTAGGAATTGTTCCTCAGGCACCACTCACTCTGTTTCTTTCTCTTTATTTTTTTTTTTTGAGACAGGGTCTCTCACTGATTGGAACTCATCAAGTATGGTAGCTGGATGTGTCCCACCCTCATCCTTCACAAGAGTTCTGAGTATCACACACAGGTCATCATGCTTGTATAACAAGCACTTCTCTGACCGAGCCATCTCTGGGATCCACCAAAACATTTTTCTTTGCTCATTTTGCTTTTAAATCAGCAAGTGGTCTTGTGCTACTGGTACCATAGCTACAATAGAGTTACCCTTGGAGAGATGCCCAAGCTGTGAAGTATTTCGGATTGTCACTGATTTTATTTTATTCACACAAAGACAAGGTTCCACAGGTCTCCCAGACAGGGCATGGCACAATTTTCTAGTTACACCAGTCTAGTGTCTTACTGCCCAAACCGAGGTGATACACGAGAACCAAGTCTGCTGGGCTGGGATCCAACTTTGAATCCTTTGTCCTTGGGCCTCTGGGTCCTAGTCATTCTACGTGTGGAGAGATACCCTTTACACAGTGAGTCACCATATTCTTTCACGGCATCTGTATCGATTGCCTCCTCTTGGCTTGAACTCTTGTACTCTTTGTTCCAGGGCAAAGACAGAATTGTGTTTTATAATGCTGGTTTAGATAAAACTGACCTTCTGAAAGTTCATCTCTGATGGAAATGCTTTGGTTAGTTCATTCTACCAGGAATCATTGGGCATTGGCTGTTGGAAGGTCCCAGAGGTCAAAACAGCAGAGCCATAAGCACAGTCCATGGTCTCTCTAAGCCCCTCTCCAAGCACCTTCCTGAAAGAGGGTGGTGGGAATAAACTTCAACTGAGGGCAGCTCTACAGAAAACTGGGGCAGCAGAGCTACCCTTCAGAAATGCACTGTCATTAAAGATAAGCAAAGGGTGTGAGAGTCCTCCAGACTACAGGGAGCAGGCAGCAGTGACAGTACCAGATCCTAGAGATACCGTGGTAGTGAAGGCCTCTAATCCAAAGCTCAAATATACCTGAGATTCTCTATAAGAGGGAAAGAAGGGGGAGATGAAAGGGAGAGAGAGAGAGAGAGAGAGAGAGAGAGAGAGAGAGAGAGAGAGAGAGAGAGAGAGAGAGAGAGAGAGAGAGAGAATGAATACGGGGCAGTTGGAAAAATGAAATAGAAGAGTATAGCTAGTAGATGGGGTAAATGTATTGACATTAAATTTGGTGGAGGCCAGACTGTCTTGCAGTTACCTAGTGCAGTTACCTCTCAGTTCCTAGGGACCACATTTAAGTGGGGAGGCCCTGCGTACGCAGTGTGCTTTCAACAGTTTACAAAGACTCCATGCTTGGTAGTAAAGCAAAGGGGACACACAGGGGTCACTGACAAACTGAGTAGTGGGTAGAGGGGTATTTATTTTTTTAAGATTTGAAATGATTTCTAAATATAAAGTAAAAGTATCCAACAGCTCAGTTATTCTTGGTATCTGAGCCACTGGCCTGCATTTGATATGCCATAATACTACAGAAATGGATTGCCAGGGTGCTGCCTGGTTCCATGTTTTCTACTATGCCTGTTTAAGGTCAGTGAAGTGACCGAGCATTTTCAGTACATTAGGAAAAGATATTGAGCTTAGAAGTCAGCTCTGGTTTTTAGGAGCACAGAAGACATCATACAGCTATGAAGTGGGCAGGTTCCGAACTCTACAAAGGTAAAGGACTGGCCTGATGTCTGTATGGGTCATTCTTCCAGGTTCCACATGCTGCCTGAGGGTAAGGGTTCAAATATTTGTTGGACAAATATATAAATTATTCCAAACTAAGGTGTGAAACTTAAAAGGTAACATCTCACCAGGAATTGAGGCAATTCATAAATTCAGGAGCAATGATTCTACTACATATGTTCTGGTGTGGAAAATGGTGCCCTTCACAGAGAGATTTGTGCTGGATTTGCTTCTCAGCTTATTCAAACCTTCCTACCTACAACCAATAAAAGCAGATGCCAAAAAGAAAAAAAAAGAGAAAACTTGGAAGAAAGGTCCCCGATCTGTGCATATTTCTTATTCAAAGTATTGTCATAAATCATTTAACTTCTTGGAGTCTTAATTACACTCCTGCTATAGAAGCAATGCATAAAATCAAATAGTGTACATTTTCCAAAGGAAACAGTTTACTGCTTCCTTGATTATCTAGACAACAGGAAACCACATCTTTAAATTGCTTCTTAGATATGAGCTGATAACACCAAGAGCTGGCAGTAGGAAAGGTGGCAAGCGTGGGTATGAATTTGAACTCAGTTCCAAGAAGGGTGGGTTTCTGAACCCAAACTGGCCACTGGAGATGAAAAGCTGCCAGCACTGGGTGTAAGGGGGCAGGGGAGGGAGGTGCATAGTTGCCGGAGGAAAGAGCCACCCGTGCGCAATGCGCTTGGCAGACATATGGCTCCAAACCCAGAAAGCCCAGGATGGGAGGCCAAGCAAAGATGAAGAATTCGAGCTTGAAACACAGCATCTGAAAAGTAGCACACCTCAATTCCAAAGGAGAGCTAGAGTTGGCCAGAGTTGGAACTCTTGTCACGCACATTTTTGTCAACAGAGTGCAGCCTGCTACTGGTTTACCTGTGATCTGAAGCCAGCTTGCAACACAGTTTAGTTTGGTGTAACCCGAGAGAAGTCAGTGTGGTATTGCCTCATGTTAAACTCCTGGCTGCAGCCAAGCTTCTTGCTCTTGTCCATCTCATCTTGGCAATGTTCGATTACTGAAACAGAAGGAGCACTGTGTTAGGAGTTTGGGATCAACCTTTAAATTTTGGTTTTCCTTTTGAATGACTGTGCGGTCTTGGACAACGAGTCATATATTTCATTGGGGTCCAGGTTCCTCTATTTGTAAGCAACACCTCATTGAGTAAACAGGAGTTTCAGACAAACCAGGGTAACAGGTTTCCTTAAAAACATCTGTATAGTGGGGCAAAGGGGTGGCACCATGTTTAAGAGCACCTGCTGCTCTCGCACAGGACCCAGTCCAATTCCCAGAACCCACATGGCAGCTCACAACCATCTGGAACCATAATTTGAGGAGATCTTGTACTTTCTTCTGGACTCTGTGGGCACCAGGGATTCACTGGGGGTACACATACACACGTAAGACAAAACACCCACACACATAAGTAAAATCATCTTGTTTTTTAGAAAGTAAGAAATAGTAACTCCATACCCTCTACTTTTTTTTTTTTGACAGGGTCTCATATATTTCAGGATGGCTTCAAAGCCCACATGTAGCAAAAGATGATCTGGAAATTCTTATCTTTCTGCCTCCCTTTCCCAGTGCCGGACTTGTAGATACTTCCTTCCTTCTGGGCTGCGCAGTACCGGGAGGTGGGTCAATGGTCTTGTCTGAGCTAGGCCAACACTCTACTGTTCTAGTCACATTTCCAGTCCCAAATGATAGCGAAAATTATTTATTTTTATTTTATGTGTACAAGTGTTCTGCCTGCATGTATGGGCATGCGTCACATGCATGCCTGGTACCTATGGAGGCCAGAAGAGGGCATCAGATCCTCCTAACTGGGTTTACAGATGATTGTGAGCTGCCAGGTGGATGTTGGGAACTGAACTCAGAGCCTCTGTAAGAGCAGCCAGTGTTCTCAGCCACTGAGCCATCTCTCTAATGCACCAGGAAATAACTTTTAAATTGTAAGTTACAATATTGTGTCTTCTCTCCAACTAAATATTTGGTATCTCTTTCTTTGGGAGTTAGTATGTTGTTGCATTAGGACAGCTCATTCATAGACAATTCATCTCTGAAACTCTTCTTCATAAACCTGCCTCCTATTTGAACCTCATATAGTATGAGGTACCTAAGGTTTAATTTGACACCTTTTGGGTCATTTGATGCCTTGAAGATGAAGGTCTAGTGTTGAGGAGGAAGTGTTTAGACCTGAGGTCTGTGTTCATCTTCCTAGAGTTCTCAGTATACCTGTTGGGATGCAGAGGCGGTGGGTGTGGGGATGAGAGGGTCAGATCCCTACCTTCTGTTTCAACTTTAAATAGAGTGTCCAGTCATCATTTTTTAAATATCAAATGTATCCACCCATCTAGAATACCACATCAGGAATGCTGAATTTATCACACATGAATTTGACTTATTGGATTTTTTTCTGGCTTCTCTTTCTTTCCTCTTGTTTGTTTACGCGCAGTAACTGTAGTTATAAGAGGTTATTTGAACCATTAGAAGTTATTTAGTGTCACCAGACCTCACCAGCCAGAGACAATGCTGTTTGCTTATAATCACTATAGACTTTATGCTCATAGCTCCTGGACTTTCTAGACCTGCTTCAGCACCAGATCTGTTCCTTCCTGTATTATCCAAGGGTGACTTGAGATCGTGGCCCAAATTCTCAGGCTGCTCATTTGGCCATTGGAGATAGGAGACATGGAAGAGAGGGTTTTCCTCCTCTGTGTTTGATTTGGTGTCTGAGACAATGCTAGCAACTTGGCCGGTCTGGGTGTAAGTTAGCGAGACCCTTTGCGGTCCCTATTTCCACGAGGTGGCGCTGTGCTGTGGCTCTAGGAACCTTTCCTTTGTCCCTCCAGCCCAGGACAGTAAGTCTTCCTAAACTGCTGCTCTCTAATTATGTCTTTTGTTTGGTTTTTCTGCCCTTTTGTTACCTTTATTACTACTTCTCTATGTTTGATTCTCTGTTTGTGTGCATGTGCGTGAGGTGTAGGGTGTGTGTGTGTGTGTGTGTGTGTGTGTGTGTGTGTGTGTGTGTGTGTTGCAGGGCACAACCTCTGGAACATTCATCATGTACTGTCAACCTTTTTTGAGACAGGGTCTCTCACCGGCCTGTTGATTGTCAGTAGAGTTAGTTGGCTGACAAATGACCCCCAGGAACCTGCCTGTCTCTCATTCCACAGTGCTGGGATCACAAGTGCCCTCCACCATGTCCAGATTTGGGGGGGGGTCTTGAGGATCAAACTCAGTTCCCCATGCTTGCCAGGTAAACATGATACAGACCCCACTCCCAATTCTCTTTGTTATAAGTACTAGAATGATCTCTGTTTTTTAAAAAGCTGAATCCTGAATAATAAAGTTATTATTATTACTAGGTACTGCCAAAATCAGGTCTTTAAGATGAAGTTTTGGGCCGGCTGCTCACCTGTTTGAGCACGTGGTGATGATGTTTTCACAATTGGAAGAGGGAATTTTTATGTGACTCTTGTTGATCTCAGTTGCATCCTAGTTGTCCGAATCCTTACTGTCTCCTGAGTTTAAGCACTGGCTGGGACTCTGCCATCTGGAAAGGCGATTTTTGCTCCATCATTGGAGTCCTCTGGTGTTCTGACCTGACAGTGAGGTGGGGCTGTGGGAAGCTGGAACGCCTATAGCCTTGGACACGTCTGAAGCCTAGCTCTCCCAACCTATCATTTCATAAAACATATTTCAAAGCTTGTTTGTGTAGCTTTTGGAATGTGAGAACCCGAAGGTGGGGCACTTCCATGTTTGGTCACCTAGGGAAGGGTGATATTGGGCAACTGTTAACCAAAGTTCACGTGAAGATATCTGAGCATGGGAGGAAGCAGTAAACAAGGCTGCGGGCCCAGCAGGACAGAGGTGAGTCTCTGTTGATTTTGAAGGAGGTGTCTTACTAGTTAGGGGTTGTTGTGTTCCTGGAGAGTGTGGTGTACTCTTGCAACTCCCCATCGTAAGACAGTATGTAGCTACTTATGGAGAGACCGTTGCTCTAATATTGAGTCACGTTCTTTTTCTACTGTCTCGATGCTTCGCTTTGAAAGGTATACTGCAGAGTATATAGACGGGCACAGTCTCCCTTGTCTCTGGATTCTTATAACCTCTCTAGATATCTGAAACACCCAGGTGTGCCTACCAGGGTACGGATCACAGATGCTCTCCAAAGGCCCACAGGGAAGGCTTACTGCCCAGTTTATGAGGAAATGTTGGAAATGTTAAAAAGATGGGGGTCTAGTGGGGGTGCTTCCAGCAGTTAGGAGTCTCCTTTCACTTCCCAAGCATACGACTCCTTATTTCTAAAACACTCATTTTCACACTTATCTATTTCCACACTGATCTGCCACAGCCTCCCTGCCATGGCATGCTTCTTTGCCACAAGAAAAGCAATAGAGCCCTTGGGCATGCACGGATGGGTGTCTACTCTGAACCCTGGATAGAGCCTCCACTCTGCCTCTCCTTTCCTGAGGAACTTGTGTTAAGGGAAGCTTTTTCCTTGCTAGCCGCTTTGGTTATCCCCCGCCAGTTGCCTGGGCTCTGCCGCGCCAGCCTGGTTCTAGATCCGCATGAGTCCCAAATAAACACACAGGAGGCTATATTAATTATGAAGCTGTTGGCCTTGCTTGTCTCTTACTGGCTAGCTCTGACTTAAGTAATTACCTCATAATTGTTAATCTAAGTATGTTTCTTACCGGAGAATAGTTCCCGGCTTCCTTCCCCATGGCGTCACATCTCGAACTCTCTTGTCTTTCTCTTTCCCAGAATCCTCCTCGACTTCTAGTCCCTCCTATCTAGGTTTCCTATAGGCTCAACAGTACTTTATTGACAAATGCACAGGACTTCCCCCAACATCTCCTCTTTTCTGTTTAAACAAAAAGAAAGGTCTTAACTTTGACATAGTCAAATCATATATAACAGAACAGTTATCAAGTAAGAATACAGTTGTAATATTTTGTCTATCAACATTTAGCAAGATTTAAAGAAAATATCATCCATCCCATCCTTGTGAGTACAAAGTCCTATATGTAGCTTTTCTTTTATCATAACTAAGGAAAACTATAATTATAACTATCTGTCTTCAACTCCATCAAAGACCACAGAAGGATAATATATAATCACTAGGATTGACAGAGACATCTTACTGCCTGGACAGTCACCTGAAGTTCCTCTGTATTGTCGGGGCATCCATCTTCAGCCCATAGGCCACAATGTGTCTGGAACACTTCTCAGCAAAGCAGGAAATTTCAAACTGTCCATCTGCATTGGCAGTCTGTCAGTCATTTTTCTTTGTCCTGCAGAACGTCTCCTAGACTCTTCCATGAAGCAGGAACCCTGTAAGACTGAGTTCAGCAGTCACTTTTCTGTGGGTCCTGCATGTCCTGATTATACAACAAGAGTCAAACAGTCTAGGCAAGAGCAGTTTCTTGCCCAAATGGCTAATATTGCCATGTTGAAAGCAAACTCCATAACAAGTTTCTTCGATGCCCATCTTCCTCTCAGACGTAATTGGTGCTGCCAGGAGCAGACATTTCTCATTGTCAAGAAAAACCCTAAACCATTTTAAATGCCATGTTCTGAAGGTCTTTGAGAGGTTTGAAGACTGTCCATCTCAAATATATTTCTGTATATCTAGAAACCTAACTTATGTAACTAGAAATTCTATTATAAGTAACTATCTATAGTCTGTATTTAATTATGCATTACGTTGTAAAAGATCATTATAAGCACAATACTTAATCAAGAGGAGAAATATAAGCATCACAAAATTGACCTTGATTTTGTCTCAATAAATGAAAAACAATACCCATACCATAATTCCCCTTTTTACCATTAAAAAAGATTGGCTGTGATCACTAGCCAATTATAAACAATCCCATTTAAATGAAAACAAAGATTTATAAACAAGATGGGAATTGGGACATCGCTCATTCCAAACTGCTTCCTGCTGGAAGGGGGCGCTGTTTATACCATGGGGATCATTACAAAACTCAGAAACCTGTATAAGTCTGTATTTTCGGGGTCTGTAAAACTGCATCATCTTAGCTGTTTCAATTGTTGGAACACCTGGTCCACTGCTTCCGGGGGTCTTGGTTGGTCAAACCACAGAAGTCTGGAAGAAATCCTCAGCTTTTTATGTTCTGTGGAAACATAAGTTAAAACTCCTTTTCCGAGTAACATATCCTTAAATTTTGAGGTCAAGGCATTTTCAAAAGATAGAAGTTGGATTAATTCAGCAGCATTTATAATCAAGTGTACTTTAGCATTTGTTCCTTCCTTAGCAATCAAAAAACTGAAAAACACAATAGCGTACAGTATCCAGACTCTCTGTGTATTTTCCATCTTTACGTGGCTTATTTATTTATCTAATATTACTTTATTTCTTTCACTTTTATTTATTTTTCTCTGAGACAGGGTTTCTCTGTGGAAACCTGCCTGCCTCTGCCTCTGGAGCAATCCTACCGGCTTGTGCCACCACACCCGGCTTTTGTATTTATTTACCACTTTGCCGTTTCATTTTCTCTCTCAATCTCATGTATATTTTTAAACACACTGTAAACCTTTAGAGGTTTTGTTCATCCAAGTCTGACTTTACTGTAAATTTTTACGTTTTTCTGGCCACGTGTCTTATCTGTAAAACCGTGGCTGTTTTAAACTGCCGTTTTTTTTTCAAGATGGCGGGCGTAAGCTTGATTCCAGCTTACTGCCTCAGTCCATGCTGACATCCAGCAAAAGCTGCCACTTCCAGCTGTACGTACACACTTTTCAATCGTTAGCAGAGTCTCTTAAAACAATCTTGCTGTTTTTTTTTTTTTTTTATGCCGAGTCAGGAAGACTCCCGTAAGCGAGCCACGTGAATCTCGGCTTGTCGTTAGCAAAACAGAGCACACCTGAGAAAAATGCTGCTACCAAAAATCTGTGCTTCTCTCCGTTCTTCTGTTCCTAAAATTCCTTTAAAGCTTTTGTTGTTTTGCGTGGAAATTCAATCCCACTCCTGACAACCATTATGTTAAGGGAAGCTTTTTCCTTGCTAGCCGCTTTGGTTATCCCCCGCCAGTCGCCTGGGCTCTGCCGCGCCAGCCTGGTTCTAGATCCGCATGAGTCCCAAATAAACACACAGGAGGCTATATTAATTATGAAGCTGTTGGCCTTGCTTGTCTCTTACTGGCTAGCTCTGCCTTAAGTAATTACCCCATAATTGTTAATCTAAGTATGTCTCTTACCGGAGAATAGTTCCCGGCTTCCTTCCCCATGGCGTCACATCTCGAACTCTCTTGTCTTTCTCTTTCCCAGAATCCTCCTCGACTTCTAGTCCCTCCTATCTAGGTTTCCTATAGGCTCAACAGTACTTTATTGACAAATGCACAGGACTTCCCCCAACAAACTTGCCCTCTGTTTGGGGGACTGGCTCCCTTTCCCACTGCTGCTCCTGGTTGTAATTATGAGGCTTCAGCAGAGCTGTGGGCCTTGACTCTGCCACCTTCATCAATACAGCTGGCTGGTCTGAGTGTGGCAGTTTCCTGAGAAAGAGCCGAGATGGAAGCCAGCTGTGACTTTGCTGTGGGCTGTGGGACTTTGTGATAAACAGGAGCTGCCCCCCCCCACACGATCCCTGCTGGTCTCCCAGCTCTCCTTCAGAACAGCTACATCTGTGACCTTCTCACATCTGGTTTATTAGTCCTTCCCTTGGTCCCAAGGCCGTTAACATTTTTTATACATAGTTTGACTGAATTGATTTATGACTTGAAGCTAAAAAAAATCTCATAGATATAAGATTGCTTTTCTAGATGTTGTGTTAACAGCTGGTTACTGAATTATACCCACATGCCTGTCTACTACTGTTTGGCCTGAGAGAGAGGCTCTGAGTGCTCCCAGAGGAGGCCGTTGTGCTCCTTCCCTGTGGGCACAGCCTCTGTCCTTTGTCAGCCCTGAGTCACACAAGCGCCTCCTTGGGCAGGAGCACATTCTGAACTGACCAGGGTCTCCTTCCCCAGACTCAGCACAGCCCACCTCACCATCCTCTGTAGACATTTCCTGGTGTGTACCTGATTCCTTACCACACCCACACCAAAACTTTCCTGTAAAGAATTTATGAATGAAAATATGATTGTTATGTATATATATGTACATGAACATAACAATCATAATTTTATTTATGTTCATGTGCATGTGCATATATTGTGCATATATTTATACACATGTAAATGTATATCACATACACATGTGTATATATCATACTGAGTCCATTTAGTTTTACTCATATGTACATGTGTCCTGTGCTGACCGCTTGTTTCTGGACTAATTGTCTCGCTTTCAGCAGTCATTGGTTATGTGTGGCTCTTCATCTAGGGGTGGTATCACATGGAATTCCCCCTGTCCATGTTAGCATGTCAACTGGTGCTGTCATCATGCTGCCTTTCTTCAGGCAACCACGTCGTTGAGAGTTCATGGGTTCAGCTTCCTTGTCATAACTCATAGCAGACATTCTGATCTTCTGACTCTTGCAGTTTTTCTATACCCTCCTCCCCCGATTTTCCCCTTAGCCTTAGGTATCCGGGGCAGCACTGCAGGTGTATCTGCTGGGTTTGGGCATTTCATAGTCACTCACTCTCTGCACTTTGGCTGATTGTGGTTGATTGTAGTTGTCTGAAGTTGTCTCTGTAGTTGTCCGAAGTTGTCTCTATGGTTGTCTGTAGTGGTCTGTAGTTGTCTCTGTGGTTGTCTGTAGTTGTTTCTGTAGTTGTCTCTGAAGTTATCTCCATCTATTTCAAGAAGGAGCTTCTTTATGGGAGGTGCCAATTTACAGCTTAAGCGTTTACAATGCATCTAGAATTTATGTCATTTAGGAAAATGGCAGTAGAAGCTTTTCCTCCTGGGTCTTTGACCTCCCCAGTCATGGGTAGTTGACTGAGTTTACAGTATCGGGAACACATTTCCTCTTGTTGAGTGAAGTTTAAATCCAATCAGACAGATGTTCTTACTCTTCTGATAGAAGTGCCACTGCTTTACTGTTGGGGGTGTCCTGCTGGTACAAACATTGCTGTGGTTCATAGGCTCAACAGCTGGGCAGGACTACCAATGGCTTCTGCCTTCACAGCTTGCATAGTATGGGGGGGGTTGTTTTATT